ATAAACAACAAGCTCTGTAATATGTAAGAAATTTGACGTATCAGTGTTTGGGGGGAGACGTTTTAGAGACACCATTTTTAAAAAAGCCAAATTCAAAACTATTTTCTTCTGATTATTAAGTCAAAATGAAAATCATTCACCAAACAATGAAATAGTAGAGTCAATCATACTTGAATGTTTTTTTAAGGAGAACAGTGTGGTAAGCAATTTAAAGTTAGGACTTTCCATTAAAATTGGTGAATTTCTGTTAAAGGAAACTGAAATATAGCATTATTCATTGAGAGGGCTATAATAATTGAGCATAAGAAAGAATGTATACAGGAGAGAAATGGAAGTAGTGGACCCAGTAATTTGGCTTCTTGAACAGTTGTCTAACCCCTAGCATATAGTTCTGAAAAATTTGAGTTACACAGAGAAGTAGGCCATGTTTCATGTAGGGAATAATGAGAAAATGTACTTCATAAATCTGTTGTGAGAGTTAAATGTGTTAACACATGCAAAGCTCAGTGTCTGGCATATTATGCTCACTGTAAAAGAGCTAGATGCTGGTTTTCTCTTCTGATGGAGTAGTCCTCATTCTCTGGTTCTTCCCTACAGGGATTCCAAGTACAGTTGGTGATGTTGCACACTGTCGTCTGCATGTGGCCCTACCTCCTAATCCTCTATCGATATCTTGCCTTGCATACTAACTTGCTATCCAGAACTCAAAGAGTACTGGCATGTTAAGCACTTACTAATCTGGGCTACGCTTCATGAAGATCTTAAAACCAGAAATCAGTGTTTTCTAATGATGAATCATAAAACTTTGTCTTTAAAATTCATTTCACTGTTTTAACCTGATTATAATTTTTTTTAAAAAGGAAGTAGTGAAAACCTAACTCTGTGCCAGACACATGTTGTGCACACATTCTCAATTTGTTCTCCAGTCAGTCTGTATTTACGTCAGGTGGGAGTGAGGGACCGAGAAACTAAGGAACTTGTCTAAGATTATACAACTAACCCAGGTGTGTCTAGTCCAGAATTTCATCATGCCCTTATCACACTTTTCTAATAGAAGGCAAGACATGCAAAAGTAAATATGATAAGCACGTCTCTTCAATACCTTATTCACACATAAATATTAAGTAGTGTAACTATTAACATTGTTTCATAAAACTTTAAGATAATTAGCCCAAGCATTTTTTTTATTATAGAAGACCACTTTAATGAAAACAAATGACTAAAGCACTCAGTGTATAAAACACTGTAAGTTGGAATGAGTGTGGAGCATGAAAAACTTAGAAATGTAAAGTCAGTTCCCATAATTTTAGAAGCTTGATTCTTAGCTCTTTTATCTGTAATTATATAATGCATAAATGAAGAATAAATGAAAAGCCACCCTTTTGCCTCCAAGTGATTCCATTTCTATGTTTAAACTCTGAGTGATAGTTGAAATTTAGGAATGTTTTAAGATTAAGCAACCAGTCTAAAGTGATAGTACCATGGATTTCAAACGTCCAGTGGAAGAAGTTCTTGGCTCTTCCACCTGTTTCAACCAGAGTAGACCTCGTTAATGTCATATAATAAGTTTTGGGGGTTTTTTCTGTGAAAAAGATGATTTAAATGAACAAAAGTTTCTGTTTCTGCAATGTTGATATCAAGACAAACATTCTGTCTTCATGAGATTCACTTGGGTTTGGGGATTGCAAGATACTCTTCAGTTGCTGCTACCAGGGTCCAAAGCAAAACTGGAAACCTGGAAATTTATGTTTTTATATCCCCATATATTCACTCAGCAAGTACCCAGAGCTACTCTCAGGGCTTCCCCATACAGGTGTACAAGTCATGCACTGCCCAATTTAGAAGGCCCCAGTCTCATCACAGTTTTGACTACAGTAATGTTTTTGCTACTGCAGTAAAGTGTTTTGAGGAAGAGGCTACAAGTTGACTTGGAACCACAGACTTCCCTTCAGTTGGCAAGTGCCTCACACCAGCAGGCTGAGCCTTTATCCTATAAAATGGGTCTTCTTCTCTCATAGCTTTTGAAAAGAAAGCCAACTGAATAGAATAAAGCCCTTTAGGTAGGAATGACTGCAAGAAATTACACCTCCCAAGGGCTTTTGCATTATAAAAGAAGTGATTGCTGATCCAAATTAAACTGATTCCTAGAGTAAATAAAGATGTCATCAAACTAGGAAGCATTGCGTTCTTAGTGCCCTTTATCTACTCTGGGCTGTCAGCACCCTAATTGGTAGTAGCCAGATGCAAGAAGAAGCAGGGGCCACAGTTGGGCCCTCTTTTTCTAAGATATTGCTAAGCCATAACTTTAGTACCATTCTAGACTCATGTAGTTGGTTTCATGTCTATAACAAACTGAAAAAGTGACTTCTTTGGTAGCAGGGACAAGAGGCTGGAACCAGGATTACCAGAGCAATGTTTCTTATTTCACTGTAAGACTTTTGAGCACTCCACCTCATATGCTTGTAAATTATATAACTTTCTTATTCTAACTACCTGTTTGTAAGTTCCTTAGAAGCAAAGCTCTGACTCCAAAATGCTGAATTTTAGCCAGAATGGAGAGAGGATTATTGGAAGTCACATGACTTGTTAGCAGGACCAGGAATCAAATTCATGTCATTGTGCCATGCCAGTTTAGAGTTCATTCCACTCTACCACTGTTTCAGTTATTTATTGCTGCATAATAAACCACTTCAAAATGTACCACCTTAATATAATGACTTTCTTGTTTCTCTTAGGTCTTTAGGTCAGGAATTTGGACAGGGCTCAGGTAGGGCATTCTTCTCCATGTGGTCTTTATGGGTCACACACTGGCCTGCCTTCAGCTGGGTGTAGTTGAAAGACCCAGGAAAATTCATGCCTATGTATATACCTCAGTGCCAGCTTCTCCTGTGGTTTTTTTCTCTCCAAGTATTCTCTCTCTTCTTCAGTACTGTAGCCTAAACTTTTTTACAGCTTGGTAACACTCTTCTCTAGAGAAAGCAAATGTTGGGAGGCCTCTTAAAACTTTCCCACAATTGGTACAGATTGACTTCTGCTGTTGTCTCTGTATCTAGACAAGTAACAATGCCAGTTTGGGCAGTAGGGACACATGTACCTCCTCTAATGCGGGGAGCAACCTACGCATTGAGGGAGAGAAGGAATTGATGATGGCCATCTCTGGAGACTAATGGCAACCATAGTTAACCAACAGATGTAGATTCCTTTCTTTAATTTCCATAGTACCTCACAGAACAGGGAAGTTCAAACTTACACAAACACAAAAAAGCAAAAAAATGTCCTGAAAGACCTTATCTTTTTCACCTGAATGCTCAAATGAAGAGTTAGGAAGCTGGCACTACCTATCCTACACAAAGTCCCCTGTTGTTATGGCTTGGATCAAGAATGTTCCCCACTGGCCTCATGCACTCATTGGCTGAGGTTTTGGAAGGTGATTGAATAGAAGGGTTCTGTACTCATCTGTGGATTCATATATAGATGATTTCAGAGCTAAATGTGCTATAGGGAGGTGGGGTCTGGTCAGAAGAGGTGGGTCACTGAGTAGGTGACCTGAAAAGGTATATACTTCCCTCCCAACTCATACCTTCACTCTCTTTCCTGACTGCTGCGACATGAACAGCTTTCCTTCAGTATTCCCCTCTGCCATGTAGTTTCTGCCTGGGAACCAGCCGACCACTGATTATAACTATAAACCAAAATAAACCTCTTCTCCTTTAAGTTTCGAGTGTTGGGTATTTTGTCCCAGTGACACGAAAATGACTAAGATACATATCATCATCCTTTGTTTGAGCTGCTTCTGATAGCATTTGTTCTTGAGAACAGGAAGAGAGGCTGCTGCACTGTGTAGGATATGTACGGAAAATGGTTAGTGCTTGTTTAATCCTACAGTGGACATTTCACAACAGTTTGTTTTTAGAGTTACTGTTATATCTGAGTTTTGTGTCAGACATTTCAGTGCATCCCTAAGGGCAGTTTCTCCAGACAACTGTTAAAAGCAATACTTTCAGGCTGCATATGTAGATAAAATGGAATATACCTACAAATAACTTTTTCAACTATTAATTTCAAAGTCAGACTATACTCATTCTCTTAAAATATGCAGGGAGAATATACCTCAGTTGGTATTTCTTCCCTTCTTGTTAATGACAGAGAGGGTTTTTATATAAATAGACAAGAATCTAAAATGAGAAAATCAATATTCTGGCCTGTGCCTGGCATCATCCTTTCTTTGTATTCTAACTAACCGGGTTTAAAATATCCTAAATGGTGAGGATTATTCTTTCTCCAGTAAAAAATACTATAATCGTACAAATTTACTTGGGAACATTTTTACATATATTATTTTTTTCCTTGAAAAAAAAAGACTTTATCCTTTTGTTACAGTTAGAATGTCTTTTGCCACTTTGATAATTACTCAACCCAGAGTACTCCTTCCTAAAAACAAATGATGTGTTCTAGCCTCATAGCAAGAGAAGAAATATAAGAACAGCCATTTACAGGCTGCTGGGACAAAACTTTTCTAAGTGTTTTGGGAAATCTCATATTTGAAGAAATAAACTTTGTCTTAAGAAATTGAGATTTTTCTTATATAAATGAAAATCTTTAGTTTCCCAAATGTGTGTGAGGAAAAATTAATGTTTTCATATCAGCTGCCTAGAAATATGGTCCATTTAAATATAATTTGCCTCTTTAATTTGTGTTGCTCAATATTTAGTGAAAATATTTTATGTACTATTTTATACAAAGTTGTATGTGTAAACATTTAAACATATTAGGAATAGTCTAGACGTTTTTAAAAAATTTTTTAATTGCCATTTTATCCTGTTTCTATTTTGTTGGTGATGGCAGTGGTGGATTTTCATTATTTGCTATTTTCTTTGTTTTATCTAGGTTTGAAAAGAGATTGTGCCTCTTTAAAATGGTCCAGATCATTGAGAACTCAGGGGATTTTATTTGAATATATGTATTTTAAATTTTCCATATCTTTATCCACTTCATTTTAGGAAGAAGAATTAGAAGCCCAAATTTCCTTCCTTCAAGGACAGTTGAATGACCTGGCTGCCATGTGCAAATACTGTGCTAAGGTGATGGACACTCATCTTGGTGAGTGAGCTACATAGGCCCTGGGAGTGAATGGTTTTAACAATAACAGCTGGTAGCATGTGTGTTCAGTCCTGCATTGAGCTCTTGACATTGAATTACCTCATTTATTCCTCACAACAGTGCTATAGTAGAAGTACCATTACTATCTACATTATTTAAGTGAGGAAACTGAAGCTCAAAGGGTAATAAAATGTCCAAGGTCACACCATTGTGGAGTGGGGTGACAATTCAGACTCAAGCAGTCCAACTGTAGATTTCAGTTCCCAACTGCTACTCTGCCTTTTGTAAATGTCTATCTGCCTTAAACCAAAGTGAAATTTTGCAATTTCAAGATTAAACTATCAGCAGTTTTGCTGTGGTAGCCTATCTGTAATCACTGATGTGATTATTTTGACAATGATTTCTTTATTTTTTTAAAAAAATTTTTATCACCTTCCATAAATGTACGACATTTTCTTTTGACTGTGGCTCTTAAAGAATGTTCTAGTTTAAAGTTCATTTACATGTACGTACACTGGTCACGTTGAAAATCTTCAGGCACTACTCTACCCTTGTAAAGGTTCCATGTTTTGTGTTAGAAACAGCCTCTGCCAGATCATGTTGTATTGCTTCCATAATTCTGTGCTGCATGCAAAAGGTTTTGCTGTGTATACTGTTACTCCCTTTCAGCCCATTAGGAAAATCCTTTCTTTTCCCACTCTTCAGTGTCTAGCCATCTTTAGTTTTTGAACAAATTAGAGAAATAAGATATGTATGCTTATGAACAGGCCAATATACAGCACCAGGAGTGTGGAGAAATGGCAGTATCAGGCATTGTAGGAAATTAGAATGCATCCCACCTCTGAGGGAAAATCAAAGTGAATCCATCAAGTTCCTTCCTACTACAGAGCCCCAGAGAGTAGCCCATTTCTGGAGTCTTCCCTGGAGATAACTCTCTTTCTGACCCATTAAGCCATCTTTAAACTGTTAGGTCAAGAATCCATTACAAGTGACCAAAATGGCTTCATTTGGGTGTAGATTAATCCCTAGTGTGACCTCAAGCAAGTAATAAACATTCTCTTAAGGATTGAATTTAGAAAGATGTGATCTAAGTGACTGGCTGCCTCCCACCTAGCTGGGCCCTGTTTTACCGTTAAGCTTATTTATACTGTATCACCCATTCCTTTAGGAAAAGGGCTCAAGAGGAGGAAATAGCAGAAGAAACTCTGATAGATGATCAACAGGGTAGTATCTCAAGTCACAGCAGGAAATGTTACCTCTGTCATATCAGATTCCACTCCCTTTTAAACTCATTATTTATATGCTGCTTAATAGTCATTTAAAAAAATACATACAGGACTAAGTTTTATGAACCTCTTAATCTCTAATGTGATCACACTGTAAAATGCATCAAAAAAATAATTGTGAATGACATATTTATATGACTAATTATCATTGTTTAAATATAATTTTAATTTTAGAGTGTGTGTGTGTGTGTGTGTGTGTGTGTGTGTGTGTGTGTGTTTCCAGCCACTTGAGTGACCTTTGCATTATTTGATTTTGGCTTTGACCAGAGTAGGAAAGTAATGAAATGATTGGAAGAAGCATTTACTGGAATTTTAGAAAATCCTGTTAGGAAATTTCCAGTTGTTTGGTGCACAGTAGCAGCTTTTAGAGCAGCTTTACTTAAGCTCAGAATTTTCAAGCAGCTTTTTCCCTGATTGTTGGTCTTTCAATCAACACTAAAAGAACATTTTCTCATTGCATGGGGAAGAGAAACACTTGAATTAAGTAAAGTCCATACTAGCTATGAATTTTTCAACTAACTGCAAAACTAGATTTGTTTATCTGCGTATGTTTCACTTTCAGCCAGAATCCCTTCACATAATTGTCCACTTCTTTTTCCCATATAATACCATGACTGCATTTTAAAAATGGAATTGAGGGATGCTAGAAAGAAATCCTAACCCCAGAGCCCACAGACACATTTCTGTTTACCTGCATAATTTAATAATGACTTATTAAAGGATGCTCCTATTTGGTAGGCAATTTTGATTCTAAACAAAGATTTGAGGAAAACACCAAGATTGATTCACATGAAGTATTTGAATTACTTTTTAAGATTTTTATTCTTTTATGGGTACATTTTAGGTATACAACACATTTACATTTATCATTGGGTGCTTGTACCTGTACATGATGCATCTTGGTTCTTATTTTTCCCCATTACCTGTGTGCCCTTCACCCCCTCCACCCTTCCCTATTAACATAGATTTCATTTCCATTTTTTTTTCTTTTTTCATAGTTTTTCCTTTCCCTCTTTTCCTTTCCCCTTCCCCTCCCTTCACTCCTTCGTCTTTGGACCTTTTTTCCTATTTCAAATTATCAGTTATTCATTTTAATCATTTTAAACCCTTGTTTAC